GCGTGGCAGAGGCGGAAGGGCAACAGAGCCTCACTTGTAAGAGCTTTAATTCCATTCATGAGGGAGGAGCCCTTGTAGCCTAATGGCCTCTTAAAGGCTCCACCTCTTAAAACTACCACATGGATCATTGTGTTTCAAAACCTGAATTTTTGAGGGGACACATTTAACTATAGCACAGTCCTTAGAGGGAACCAACCGTGCCACCATGTTGACTTTAGACTTCTAGTCTTCAGAATTAGGGGACAAAAATTTCCTACTCTTCTACACCACCCGGTTTGTCGTCCTTTGTTATGGTAACCTTAGCAAACGAACACAGTGCAGTACATAGGCATAAATAGGAAGAAAAATAAGTAGATAAGTGGGTAGATAGATTTATGGGCAGAGAAGTCTAACGTGTTTAATCAAAGCAGTAGAAGAGAGAGGGAGGATAAGCCTTTTCTTACGGAGCCCCGAATTCTCTGACTTTTATCATAGATACCGAACACAAAGGCTGTGTGATTTGCTACGAGCCCTAGAATTGCCATTTGCGAAGGCTGTCACAAGATGCCTGCTCTGACTTGCACCGGAGAAAATTACAGTGGTCTTGGTACCCGAATGCAAAGTCAGAGTCTGGATAAAAATAAGGTTGAAAAGAATAAGAACAAACCAGAAGTGAGTGAGATTTGACATAATTCCCGCTCATACTGTGGGAGACTCCAGTGCTTAAGTGAGACGGAGGTCAGATAACCAACTGTTTTTGTCTGATTTCCCGAACGAAGTGAGTTCTCATATTTCTGCTGCGGTTTTTGCCTTTGGGCCTGGGTGTGTGTCTGTGCTTCCTGACATTTTGGCTTGGTTCCTTTCAAAGCATTTGCATCTCATTCTTCTTCAGCATTATTATTATTTTAAAATGTCCACGATAGAGTGTGTGTGCACCAAGAGAGAGATGAGAGAGAGAGAGAGAGAGAGAGAGGAGGGACCAGAGCACCCTCCACATCTGCTCGCACAACCCCTCTCCTCTCGTCCTCCAGTGTGTCAGTAGTGACATGTGTCCAGGGTGTTTTCCGCTGACTGGGCGGGGACCTGAACCGCAGTTGCCATGGGAGATCTGCCTTCTCCTGCTCAGCATTACCGCTGGGCCACAGAGCCAGCCTGCCTCAGTATTCTCCGTGTGGGATCCTTGGCGCTCAGAGCCCCAAGTCCTGTCCATTCCAGGTGTTGCCCTGCCTCGTGTACCACGGCTGGCACTTCCCAGTACGCGCCAAGGAGGGCCCATGTGCACCCAGCAACGTTACGGTCTCCTTCGTGGAGCGGTGTTTCTTTCCAGGGCCACTACGGAGAGATGTTCCCCAACAACTTGGAGTCAGAAGAGGAAGAGAAAAAGGCATTTATAGTCTTAAAAAGATTAGGACTTTTCACGTACTGCCCACGGGGCCACATATTTCCAGGTCTACCTTCTGCTCCAAACAGCTTTTTAAAAGCCTGCAAGTAATGGTAAACCTGTTTCGATAGAAAGGCAGGTAGGGAAAGCACAAACGATGAAGTCCAGCCCGGACCTGCGGAACCAGAACCCTCTCTGCTCTGCCAGGCTCTCCTGACCCCATACACCCTGCAGTTTCGGAAGCACAGTCACAGCAAAGCTTCCAAACGTTTGTGCTGATCAGCTCTGTCCTGAACTCTTGGCACTCCCTGACTGAGTAACTTTGGACAAATTCCTGAATTTTAACCTTTTTGTGAATCTGGAAAATGAAGATAATAATTTCCAAGTCTCCATTGGAGTAGTGTCCATATTAAATGAGGTTTAAAATGCAAAGCTCTTTAGTACAGTCTCTAGAAATCAGACTTGTTGAGTCCTCACAGAAATGCACGTAAGCGTTATTATTCCTTCACAGGATTGTCAGATACAACGGATGCAGGATGCCCAGTTAGCTCTGAATTTCAGATAAGAAACGGTGTGATGTTGCCCTTGTGTGTGCCTTGCTAGCAGCGTACGAGACATGGTCAGTCCTACAATAGAAAGATTGCCTGTTGTTTGTGACAGTCAAACATACCTGGACGCCTAGCTTTGGTCTGGTAATCCTAGTCATCAGTTTCAGATAGGAAACGGAGCCGAGGCAGTCTGGTGACCTGTGCCACGTGAGTGGGGTGAGCGCCCTGATGTGCCCCCTTCAGCAGATTCCTCCTACTCGTGGACGACCCCCTTCTTGGCAATATGTGGGCACATGACTCCTCTAGGACTCTCCTTCCCTCTTAAAATCTGATATTGGAGGGCCACCAGGTGGTGTAGTGGTTACGTCGCTGGACTCCAGCACGCGGCTGACTGTGCCTCGAGTCCTGGACCCCGTGGCTTGAAACTCACGCGGAGTGTGCGTGCGTGCCGTCCAAGATCCCAGGAGAATGGAGAAGGGATTGCAGGGTGACCATCCCCTGTGGGGGTGCTTCCTCACTTTCCCTCTCACTGTCTCTCTTTCTCTCTCTCCGGTGAGTGTTTGCACCCTACAGATAAAACCTCTAAAGCAAATAAACAAACGAACAAAACCAAGAAACTGATTTTGAATGGTGGGAACATATTTAGGCAGAAAGGATGGTGTGATGTTGCATTTCCCTAAAGTCCAAACTTGTAGCAGAATTCCTTTACCTGTCTTAGGGAAACGTGGGACACCTCCACGGCCTAATCCACGGTGAGCACGCGGGGGCTAAAGTGCTCTCTCTCTCTCGCTTTCTTTTGGAGTCATCCTTAGTTGTTTTGAAGGTTTCTGAGTAAACTTTTTTCAAATTATTCAAATGAATATTGATTTGTTGGTAAATTGAAAATATATTAATAAGTGAAAAGAAAGTGTGTGTCCATGTGAACAAAGTGAATTGCACCGGATGCAATTTACCCTGCTTTGTCATGGAACCCACATTGCTTTGTTTTAATTTTAAAACATACTTGGGCCTTTTTCTGTACCTCACCATTAACAGAACAAAAACTTTCTGAGTTACCACTGAAAAGATTCATTCCTTTCCTCCTTTTGAGCTCCTTTTAAGAAAAATCACTTGGGAGGACGAACATTCGGAACACACGAAGTGCGTTCAGAGGGACGTGAGACGAGACGGGAAGAAGAGAAGGGAGAGGGGGATAAGAAACGTGCCACTCGGCCTTTCTGAAGTACTTGGCAACCACTGTGGCTAGCTCGTTAGAAATGTATTCATTATCCAGAAAGACTGAGGCTGCCCACGCTGATGCATGTGTCACATCGTCAGTGGCAACCCCTGGGGACAGCCTGGAAGTACTGGTAGGGTAGGGCTCGCTCTGTGTCTTGGACAGCACGGTGCTAGGGCTGCAGGGACAGAGACGACCGAGCCAAGGAAGGCTGGTCTTATCCACGTGCTCCCAGCTGTCCTGGGGAGACAGGACTGGCAATCTGGAGTGAAACAGGGGTCAACAATTCAGAACAGCCGGCACGAGGCCGCGCGCGTGGAATGCAGGCTCGTCTTAGACCTGCGCTTTCCTGGAGGTGAATTTAGCCGATGCCGCCTACTTCAATTCATATTGCTCCTACCTTGAATTTATTCGTTAGAAGTCTCTTTACAATTCCTTTCATTCTCTTTATAAACCATGCAAGCACAAATTCAAGGCAACTTACCTTTTCTCTGATGAGAAGTTTATAAAGGATTTTAAGGACCACTCGGACGTGTGAGCTTCAGGAATATATGATGAAATCATGTACTTAGCATAATTGACTTGCCATATAAATTTAAAAATACATAACATGAGACGAGACCGATTTAGAAATGCTGCTTTTTTTGAGGCTCGGATTTTCCTAGTGTCAGCATTTTCATCTCGGCCTTAGTTCTTAAAGAAGCCTTCCTGAGTCCACGGGTGATACTGCCCTAGCCCATTCTGCTGTCTGTGTGTGGATTTTATCCGGTCTCCAAAATCCTCCAGGCTAGATTTTTTTCCCCATAGGGCATGTGTGCTCAGAGAGAGATGGGCACGCTGCAGTCCTCTCTCCTCCATTCTCCTCCTGGGATGGGGCACACGTGCACGTGTGCCTGGCGTGTTCTTCAGGCTGCCAGGTCTGGGACTTGGCCTGCAGTCGGTCATGCAGGATCTAGAGCGTTAACCTGGACACCTGCTGGCCCTGGGCTAGATGTTCTAGAGGCAAAAAGGCCGTTCCAGCTCTGAGGCCCATTGTACCATTGGAAGAAACTCTCTTGTCCAGAAAACTTCACAGAAAGTCTCTAAACAATATTTTAAATTATAATATTCAGTCTCCTGATAATAGCAAACCATCCCCTTTATCCTGGCCTCTTCTGGTGTAATACCCTATGGAAAACACTTTCCTTCTTCAGTTATAAAACGAAGCCTGACATGCCTTTTACAGGACAGTGGAATAGTGTGTGTCCAGGACCCGGTGACGTGAGCAACACGCTGGGCTTGTGTGCAAGTGTGCCCCAAATCCCGAGAGGAGGGGGAGGTGGAGAAGAGATTGAAGCGTGACCCCGCCCCACGGGGGATGCTTTCTTACGCTCTTGCTCTGTGTCTCTTTCTGGTGAGCACATGTACCCTTTAGCACACACACACACACCCAGAGAAATGATTAAAACAATCAGTTTATGTTATGTATGTTTTACCAACCTCCAAAGATCTTAAGCCTAAGTACATTCTACTAGGGGCTAAACTGGGGGCGGGGGGAGGGGAGGAGGATGCTTCTGTGGTTTTGCTAGATTATAAACTGCTTGAGGACAGGGACTTTATTGTGTCACTGTAATTGCTGGCAGTCCCTCTCATCCGGTCTTGAACACGTAAGACTCAGTGGATTAGCTGAAATGAATTAGATGATGGCCTGCAGGATTTTTCAATTTAATTCATCCTCAGAGGAGAGGAGTAAGAGTTTCTGATCAAATTCAGGGGAATGCTTTTAAGGCTTGTTTTCTTGGAACGGGTTGTTATAGACTTGCCAATGTCTGACTGCAGGCTCGCCGCTTGAAAAGCTTGGGACAGAGCCAGGCAAAGCCGTACGAGAGAGGCGGTAGGTTGAGGGTGAGTGATCAGAATGCAATGTGACGTGCGACTCTGGCAAAGGGGATGGCAAAGGTTAATAGCACAAAGACACTGGCTTTAGGAAAAAACAACAACACAACAACAAAAAGCATTCTTTGAAAGAAGCCGAGAGGACAGGGCAACAAGCTTGATTGAAATTGATTGTACAGAGTCTCTACTGTGTGAAAAGGGGAGACAAGGGAAAAGCTCGGACGTCGGGTAATATTCCTCTTTGGCTGCCGGAAAATACAAGCGACAAAGGTAGCCAATGTCTATAGCAGCCAAACTCCAAATGCTCATTCGGATCTTTCCGTTTGCACCAACAGTCTCTCTACATGCAGAGAGAAAAAGGTTTTACCTAAAAGATGTACTCTTCGGGGGTACAAGGCAACATCTAGACTTTGCAATGTAGTGACATATTTCATAACTGAAACTTAATCAAAGAATGTCTTATTTTAGATAATTTCTTACAAATAATTAACATTCTTAAAAATTTAAACAATGGCTGAAGTACACAGAAGATGAGAAACAGTCCCTCCTCCACCCATTATGCCATTTCTATCGATCGATCACCAGAGAGTGCGTGCACTCACTAGAGAGAGACAGAGACAGAAAGGGGGAGAGCACCTTCCAGTGGGGCCTGGTCATGCTGCCATCATTTTCCCCTCTTGCCAGGGTTTTGGGCAGGGACACATGCACTTGCTGTGTCTCGCAAGTCTCTCCAGCTGAGTTCACCCATGGTCAGCCATGTGGGAGCTGGTCTCAACCACTAGGCCGTGGAGCTAGCCCGATCCGCTGGTCAGGTCCGGAGTGAGTTCCGGTAGATCGCTCTCTTATACGTGCCCACATACGTGTAAATATAGAAATAGCTTTTCTTTTTATTAATTTTTTAAATATAAACTAAATCGAACTCCATCTTTTCCTGAAATGTGCTTTTTCTTGAAGTTTTCAAAAGCAGTGAAATGGGGACCAGCAGATGGTGTAACAGTTATATCCCTGGACTCCCACGTAGTTGATCATGGTTCAAGCCCCAGACCCGGCAGATTTAAACTCATGTTGGGCACATGTGCGTGTGTGCCCAAAATCCTGAGAGGAGAATGGAGAAGGGATTGTGGTGTGGCCATTCTTCCCAGGGGGTGATTTCTCACTTTCTGCTTCTCTGTCTCTCTGGTGAGCACACATATCTTATAGCAAAAAATCTCTCTCAGAAAAAAAAAAAAAAGGAAAAAAAGCAGTGAAATGACTCTAAGGAAAAAGAAGAACAGAGATCCCATGTAATCTGCACACCTAGAAAAAAATCAGTGTTCAGTATGTGTATCATGAATTGCCTACATTACCTGAGTATTTGAAGAAACCAAACTCTTTGAGGTGAGTTGCGACTCTTCTTGTCAAATGTGGAAGTTTATGAGGCTGTAAAGTAATAGGACAAATTATTATTGATTTATCTTACAACTTTATTTTTATAGTAATATAATAGGACAGAGTCTACACACTGGGTATAAAAATGTTACGTCATGCTTTATGCTTACATACAAAAACTGCAGGCGACTCACCTGTTTATTTGGTTGATACATTAAAATAATAACACTTTTTGTGTAAGTGTAAAATTTTGCATTTTCCTTCATCCTCTATCCAAGTGAGGAATCACAGTTAGTTGAATTAATTATCCAAATTAGAACACGCATAATATTAAAGCTATATATTTTGGGGATCTAAAGCCTGGAGAAAAGGAAACTAGCTACAGAATTCTCATTTAAATCATTGCTTCAAATTAGGGTTTGGCTTATATAGGGTAAAGAAGAGAGAAGGGGTGCTTCCTTCTGAATATTTTCAAATTATTATGCTGCAGATTAAAACATATTTTGTTGCTTTGTGTAGATACTTGGCATTTCACTTGCAAAAACTAGGCCTTTCGGTTTTCGCTTGCTGTCTCCAGGTGTCCCATCTGTCGTCACCCGGACTGCTACGGCTTGCCCTTCTCCACCGTGGTTGTCTCCCCCACTTCACACCCTGGGGACTCTCCCCAGTTTTTATGCACTCCTCAATCTTAGTCTCCAGAGTTCACAAGTGCTGAATTAGGTTGGGAAAAGGCGGTTTAGCTGGATTTGGGAATTGATCCCTATTGGCACCACGTTAGATAAATTTTCAGCTAAAGAATGCTCTGCGTGGACAAAATATGAGTGTCAACAGCCACTGAAAGTCAGTCCTCTCAGTTCCTTCCCCACGCCTCTGATTCCAGTATAGTGCTTGCCAGCTTACAGTGCTGGATTTTTAAAAAACAAATACTGTGTATGATTAAAGTTTTTAAAGTTCATTTACTAAATGAGAGAGAGTGAGATTTTGGCAGCACCCTCCTGCCCTGCTCTCTGGATTCGCTAGCCCTGCAGGCCTGTGTCACCACGCTCCTCATGTTGAGGCTGGCAGGCTGACCCCGGGCCTCCCTGGTGGCCTCAGCCTCTGGCTGTGTCTTAGCCGCCTGTATGGCCATGCTGAGTCTATGGTTATTTTAATTGCTTTAAAGATAGGTCTTATCAACTAGCACTTCCTAAATGCCTCCTTGTGTACATAATTCAGCAGTTCCTCCCATCCTTACTGACCAAAGAAAAATACCTTCTATCTTTCACTTTAGACTTGGGCATAATCAGATAAGCAAAGAGATTCGGATGTGGAAAGAGTCTGGGTGTTTCATGGTTTTTTGTTTTTTCCTTCTTCTTTTTGGTCTTTAGCCAAACCACCAGTCATCAGGGATTCTTGACGAGCTGACTTAAAGCCCCCAAGGATTGGGAGGCTTTTCACACTGAAAGGTAGATCAAGCAAAACAAGTAAATCTGCTAATGACCGTGCGTTGGAGACGTAGGGCTTACAAATGTACCTAATGTGTTAGTTTTTGTGAGCTAAAGGGTGTGTGTAAAGAATAATCGCAAAACCAACCTGAATGGCAAGAGATGGAGACTGTTTGAGACCAGGCAGCTTTGGAAATGTCTGAAAATGCAAATTTACTGCACTTGTTAATGAAATTGCTATTTTTAAAACCCACACTAATACAACCAATCTGTTTCATAGCACAAGGCGGCATTTATTCTGCTATTGCTTCTTCTCTGCTTTGTGTTTTTCTTATCACTTTCTTCCACTTACTCATTTCTTTCCCTTTTCTTCTTTTACTGTTGTGGGATCCATTCAGAGACTGCAATTGGTCCAGGAAGCACAGACTAAGAAATGTGCTTGGTTATCCTACACTGGTTATTTATGAGTTCTGGGGAATCTTCCAGCTGAATTTTCCAAGGTCGGCCTTGGCCATGTCCCTTTGGAAAGGCTCAAGTCCATGCAGGCACTGCTGGGGCTTAGGAGATTCGTGGGTCAGAGCCACACATTCTGTTTAGCAGTTGGGTAAACTAAGAAGTGCTTGGAGTCTTCGGGCCTGCAGTGTGCTAAGTCTATAAAATTGGGAGTAGGGGCTTGTGAAAGAGGAAATTGCTGGAATCTTACCAAGGTCAATTTGCAATATCCATGAAAATTGCAAATGCATATACCTTTAGGTCTAGCAATTCCATTTCTGAGAATTCATCCTTTAGGTTGTGAAGTGGTAGGAATAAAAGGATAACAAGATTGGGAGGAACCCAGCTGAGGTTGGGTAAGATTATTTTGGTACATTATTAGGGATATCATGTATGAAAGAAAGAGGAAGCCGTCCCACACTGACAGGAAAAGGTGTTTGAGATCCATTGTTAAACGAGAAAGGCGAAGTTCAAAAGTAGTGGGTATAACATGCAGTTGTCCAGAATACAAAGGGTAGAAAGAGGACCCGGGATACGTATTTGTATCTGTTCTTATCAGTGCACAGAAGACCTTGAAAACTAAGACCATCTGCTTCTACTCTCAGCCCGGAGGCTGAGAACAGAGACCACGAAGCACCAAGTGACTGCTCTAACATGACTCTGCTTTTCTGCCATTCCCACCATGGTTTCCTCGCTCTTCTGGAACTGCCCTCCTCGACCTAACGGTATGATTGCTCATTACAGAAGCTTCCCCAGGACCTGCAGCTCTTCACCCTGAGATGACTTGAATTTCTCAATCTCAACATCTTTATCTTGATGATTCCACAATCCTGGACTGTTGTGCCACAATTCTTATTTCGATTCTAGTTCCTTCTCTGCATTGAAAGACTCACGTTGGGACCAGCACATAGAGTAGTGGTTATGTTGCTGGACTCCTACACAGTTGACTACAGTTTGAGTCCCAGACTCAGTGGCTTAAACCTCACTCTGGGTTCCTGTATGTGCGTGCCCAAGATCCCAAGAGGAGAATGGAGGAGAAGGGATTGCAGTGTGGCCATCCTCCCAGGGTGTAATATCTTGCTTTCTGCCTCTCTGTCACTCTGGTGAGTGTACGCGCCCTATAACAAAAATCTCTCTCTAAAAATAATAATAATAATAATAATTTAAAAAAGTAAATACACACCTTAAACCACTTGACTAATTCTTTTTTTTTTTTTTTTAATTTTTAAGAGGTTTTTTGCCATAGGGTGCATGCACTTGCTGGAGAGGGAGAGAGACAGAGATAAAGGGAAAGTGAGAAATCACACCTCCCCTCCTCAGGGGGATGGCCGCACCACAATCCTTTCTCTTCCATTCTCCTCCTGGGATCTTGGGCACATGCACCCAGTGTGACTTTCAAGCCACCAGGTCTTGGACTCGCACCACGGTTGGCCACGTGGGGGCCCAGTGATGCGACGACTACGCCATCTGCTGGCCCCAACCGTTCAGCTAATTCTTATACCCTAGGAGACACGGAACTCTGCGGTACGGTTTTCTCGTGCCATGGCTACAATGAACTTAGCTTTGTCATCTCAATGGGTTGTGCTGGTGAGACGTGGAGAAGTGGCTTTTTTTTTTTTTTTTTTTGGAGAGATTTTCACTGTAGGGCGCGTGCGCTCGCCAGACAGACAGAGAGAGACAGAGACAGAAAGCGAGAAATCACCCCCCAGGGGGGATGGTCACGCCGCAATCCCGAGAAGTGGCTTTTGATATGGTAAGAAGTTTCTGTCTCAGGGTGGGTATATGTGTATAAAAGCACTGGGGGGTGCAGAAAAGGTATAGTTTATTTTACCACTTTGATTTCGTTCACTGAAAATGCTTTTGTACTCCTGAATCATGTGAATGCCTTGTGTACTTAAAGATAAAATGAAAGTATTATGTTGAAGAAGTACAAGTATAGGATAAAATTGGGGGTTAATTATTAGATCACATTTCCTCTCGTTGCTGTAATTCTGTTGCAATTTCATAATGTCCACTCAGAAAATGACTTCTAAAATTGTGATGAAGATAGCAGCTCAGTTTATATAGCTACCAGAATGGGATCGTGTCCAAACTTCCGGCACTTTGATCTGCACGTTTGTCTAATGCCGACTCAATTAGCACTTGGCAGAGCTCAAAATACAGATTTTCTGTAGAGCCCAGCGCTATTTTGACAATGTCATTTTCAACATTGTGACTTTTTAGCGTCGATTTGTGGTTTTCATTTGAAAACCAAGTACTTTAAAAACTATTCTGTACCTGATCTCTATCAGAAGAGTCCTGCGTTGTCGGAATCCTGATTTATTATGATTTGCGGCTGCTGGACACCCAGGGTGTCTCCGAGAGAAGTCTGGGTAACTGGAGAGACTATTCCCGGTGCTCAGATGACTGGAGTGGAAAGGTCTGTTATTGGAGTTAAAGAACTGGAATAAGTTTAAAAAGAAAAAAGGAAATTGGCAAAAAGAAAACGCAGCACACATGTGTAAAGGAAGAACAGGGAGCGTGACTGACACGGGCAGGCTTTTGTAGGACTGTATCACAGTTTGCTGCGGATAAGAGGGTGGACAAATAAGCCTGAGCTTTCTTCATTGGAATCTAAATACTAAAAGAAGGAGCGATCAGGCACAGATAATTGAAAACAAAGCCTAGATGGTTTGCAGTTTATTCTTAAGTATCCACATCCTTTAGGTACATCTTTCTCACTTTATTAAATCTGGTGTGGAAAGAAATGATTAGTTTTCAAAGTATTGTAGCATGGATTTAATACGATCTGTTGTGTGGCATTCATGTTTTCAGGGGCTCTCAAATACTTGCTTATTCCTGATATTCATTGCTCTTTATTTATGACTCAATGAACAAAGGATATCTTTTCTTTCCCTCAGCAGCGTCCTTTCTTTTCATTTGATTGCTATTATTTGACATTTACTTACATCTTTCAAACACATGTAGGTAGCATAGTTCTTATCACTCAACATTAAACACAATTGCATATTCAAGAGAGGTTTTTTGAAACTGGTGTCCATCTGTTTAACATGTTGGCTGCGCCAATTTAATTCTTTACTTGTAAACCTTCTCTTCACTCATAATCATTTTGTTTTTTTTTCTCTCTTTAAATTAACAACGACTGGCATTTTTATATGGCATATGGGATTAAAATTTCTAAAACTTGCTTATCAAATAGTCCTTTGTCGTGAGAGAAGTAGTTGGATTGAAATTCTATTTAGCTTGTCATTGGTTCTGACAAAATCTTGGGTCCCTGGAGTCCCCACGTTGAACAAAGAAGGCCCACTGCTAGCAGGTCCCAGTTCCGAGGTCTCCCTCTGCATGCCGAGCATGTACGTGTGCCTGTTACCCCAGGGCTGGCTGGGGCCAAGGGAGGACCACGGCGTGAGGCCCGGTATCTCTCTCTTCCTCTCACATGGATACATGCATACTTAAAGAAAAGAGAATCTTCTGGGAGTCAGGTCTGAGTGCACCTGGGAACCTCTGGATGTTTGCATGAAGGACTGAGGAGACGAACGGAGAGGACTCGTGTGGGGTGGGGGCTGAACGCTGACTGCTTTGTCCGTCCGTGTCCCCCCACCCCCCAGCTGTAGAGGTATGTAACTCCTTTTTTGATAGTAAGGAGAGAGGCAGGTAAAGAGAAAAACACAGGGCCACGCGTTACCACATAGCTTTGCACCTTTGTGTGGATTGTGGCAAGTGGTGGGTGTGCCTTAGAGATGACCCGGAATAGGCAGGGACGCCTGTTCTGAGGACCAGAAATGAGGTCTGTGCACTCCCCGCAAAACTCGGTAACGAGGAAAAGGACTTATTCAGGAGGCCAGTTAACCACCACTTCCTTACCGAGTGAGGAACAAAACTTGTAAAGGGAAGACGGCATCTAAAACAAAGGGCCAAGTATTCCTTGTCTTGTGCAGTGTGAGCAGACCTGGTCATCGTCTTGGGCAGGATGGGGCGATCACAGGGAGACCTGAGAGCAGCAGCAGGGCGGTCACGGCTCGGGGTAGTCTCCCTTCCATATGGGCAGGGCTGGCTGGGTGATGATTTCAGTTCTCTGCAAAGATAAGCATGATGAGCGAGGCAGCAGGAGGAAGGTGGACCCAGTCAAGACAACGCTTTGATCCAGATTTAGAAGCGAGGCGTGGTTCTGGAATGCTTGAGCCGATTAAGTCTTCTCAGCTGGTTAAGGGAGGGGCTGGTGGCATCTTTCCCCTCCCCATCTCTGCAGCCAGGTGTCTGTAAAGACCCAGCAAGGCTATGATGGACTTCCGTTGGTTAAGCACTAGGCCCCATCTATTGTGAGGGTGGTAAAAGGCGAGGCTCTATGAGACCGTGAAGTAAGACAGACGTTAAAGAGAGATTTTCCTAAAGTTTAATCTGTTAAGAGGAGCTCCAAGACCAAGTGCGATAGAGGGCCATCTTGGTTTTCTTGCAGCGTGGTTACGTGGAGACACTAGTTTTGCATAACTGAGGTGGCACTGGCTGGTGGCCGGCAGATGAAAGCCAGAGTAGTACTGATGTGGCAGTGAGCAGAGCCCAGCCATGAATCTCGCAGGAAGGTTCCATGGTGCCTTCCAGAAATAAATGTGAGAGACTTTGTGGGAAGCAGAGGCCCTACATTGGCAGAGAGCTTACAGTAAAATACCAGTTAAGATGGATTTATCCTCATGAAAAGAAAATTCTTTAGATGACATCTATTTCTTAGTATGTGATATGGCTTGGGCTTGGGTTGTCAGAAAAGCCATGACACATTTTTGCATAGAAAACATAGAAAAATATGACACTTTTCCAATGACCCAATTCTTTGGTCTGAAAATTGGAAATATTTATTTATTTATTTAGTGATTTTTGCTATTGGGTGTATGGGCTTGCTGGAGAGACAGAGGGACAGAAAGTGAGAAATCACCCTCAGGGGGCATGGCCACACCGCAATCCCTTCTCCTCCATTCTCCTCTCGGGATCTTGGGCATGCATGTACACATGCCCAGCATGAGTTTTTAAGCTGCTGAGTCTGGGACTCGAACTGTGGTAGACTATGTGAGAGTCCAGCAACATAACCATTATGCCATCTGCTGGTCCTGGAAAAATTTATTTTTTAAAAAAGTTTATTTTAGTTCTTCTATGAAAGAGACAAACAGACCCCTGAAAGGGTCTTGGTGTTGCAGTCAGTTCCCAGCCACAGCCAGCCATGGTGCCTCTACTGGCCCACAGGGAGGCCTCGGGGTGAGGACCCGAGACCTTTCCGTGGAGACGCAGCATCGTGGAACGTTGCGTCACTGCTGTGCCACCACGACTGGCCTGCAGCTCAGATTTCTGAACAGGACTCTTTTCCTAAAGTGAGACAGCCTAGGTAATGCCTGCTTTAGAGCCAGGACACCCAATTTATCAAAGAGCTGAGCCCGATCCTTGGAGCGATTTCCGGGAAGTGGTAGTAAACTTCTCCGTAGCCCAGAGCAATGATGTGCTTTCTTAAGGGCAGTGAGATTCCATTTCCCAGATGCAGGGTTTTTACGGAGCAGAACTAAAGTGAGGGATCATGAAGCGTTCTTCGAGAGACACCGATTCTGGCTAACTTCAGCAAGAACGCTACTGCACAGACTATTACAATGGCTCCTGAGCTTTGAAAGACTGACGGGACATGGGGTCTCTCCAAGGGCAGGCCTTTGCTGCTTCACAGCTGAAGTTCTTAGCTATTAAAAAGGGCACCTAATTTTATTAAAAAAAAATGCTATAGAGTACATGTACTTACTGGGGTGGGGGGGGAGAGAGAGAGAGAAAGAGAGAGAAATAGCCCCCTGAGGGGGATGGCCACACCGCAATCCTTTGTCCTCTGTTTTCCTCTTAGGATTCTGCGCACTCACGCACACGCATCTGATGTACTTTTCAAGCCACTGGGTCTGGGATGCGAACTGCACAGTCGGCCATGAGGCTGCGCTAACCAGCTGTCCCAAGGGCACCTAATTTTACCCATGTGGAAGGCATTCGGAGCTTCGGATATCTGGCTAATGCGTGAGTAGCCGTTAACCCCTGGGGCCTCTCTCAGCCTGTTAAATGGTAATAAGAAGGGTATTTTTGTTGTCCTTCATGTTTTTAAGGTTTTTCTATCTCAGAAACAAGGCTTTTATTTATTTATTTTTAAATCAGCCGACTTAGGTACCCCTGTGCTTTTGTTTATGAAGATGTGCTATACATACACACACACACACACACACACACACACACACACACACGTTTCATTGCGCACGCATTAGGCGCCCAGAATGGTACTCCTGCCCTCGACCACAGGGGGCGCTGGCGGGCACGAGGGTGCTCGGGGCTGCGCCTATTCCGGCCTGCGCCTCTCCCGGCCTGCCTGCCTACCAAACCAGCCCGGGACTCCGACCTCCCAGGGTCGACAGGGTCCTTCCTCCCCCAGTCAGAGGAAGTGGGAATTTCGGTTGGATTTTGGGATTTTTCTTTATGTCCTTTATGTCTGGGGAAACCAACCAACCAACCAAAAAGTCAGCACAGGCTGCTCCTCGGTGCCGTGGAGGGAGCTGATGCACAGGCCGACTGCAGTCACCTCCCGCCTGGCAGCGAGCACAGCCTCCTGAGGGGATGGCCAGATGGGGGGCAGAGTGGGCAGTGTGACCGTGCCCCGTGGGGAGGGATGACAAGCACCCAAGTCCTCCGGCCAAAAATAAATAGAAAATCTTAAAAAATGTACTCTATGTATTTATTTATCGAAACATAATAGAGGCATGGGAACTAAGAAATCACTGTCACAGTGCGGAAAAGAAGGCTGGCAGATGAAAGGCCGGTTCACTGAAGCTGATTCTCCACTCCTTCTCTTCCTTCACTCTCAGTCCACAAATCTTACTTGAGCATCTAATAGTGGCAGGAGCTCTGCCGTGTGTGTCTACCGGGTGGGTTTGCCGGAGAAGGAGCTAGGCTGGCTCTCACTGGGCTTCCAGGCGAGGCAGGCGGGGGGCGGGGCC